AAAATAAACAATTTTACATCTATCGTATCTTTACTAAAATGTTTAATATATCTTCCATTAAGTTCAGCTAGTAAACCTGCCGATATCCCTGCAATATACCCATACTATATAATTCAAAACTTATATACAATATTAATTCTACCTTCTTAACTTTTCCTTTACACATTTTTGAGTATCATTACAGGGTTCAATCTAAATCTAGCAACTGATTTTTAATATTTTTAAGGGAATTCAGTGTAGACATTGTAAACTGATTTTACAGATTTGTATGTACCTTCCCTGAGAACAACCTATCAACTGCAATAGTGATATATGATTTTGTAAGATAATATAATACTTTGTTTCAAACTTTCTAAATAAATAAGGTTAAACAAAGAGCTTAAATGTATAAACTTGATGTCTCCATATCAAAAGAAAAAAGTACACTTTGAATAAAAGTAATCTTTCTTGTTTCTTAGTTCACAGTGAGCAAAAATCTCTTACAAAAAACACGGCTTTTATATATCGGGCTGTTTTAAAAATCTAGTAATTTCAGTAGTAGAGTATCATGATAACTGTAATATGTTGGAACTTTCTAAACATCGTCTGCACTATTTGAATTTTTCTTTAAATTAATTGTTCTGCGGAATTTAAAATACAAATTCCAGGCATTTTTATCTGCTTCATGTACTGTAATTTTTTTTTATACCTGGGATCAGTAATTCAAACGCATTCAACAACCCTCTTCATCGTTTAAATAATTTTAAAATAACAGAAGGACAAATAAAACATCAAATATATACAATCTTACATCTATCATATCTTTATTATAAATGTTTAATATATCTTCTTTCATTAAGTTCAGCTAGTAAACCTGCCTGATATCCCTGCAATATACTCTGGTATACGTGTACTAACGTATCAAAACTTATATACAATGTTACATAGCTACCTGCTTAGCATTTTGCTTACACATAATTGGAGTATCATGACAGGGTGCAATCTACATTTGGCAACTGATTTTAATAACTGTAATATGTGGGTAATCGATGAACCTCAATCTGTCTTAAATTAGGTACATAGACATGGTCCAGTGTTGTTCCATTTTCAGTAGTGCTAAAGGATACAAGTTGTCTGAAGTTTTGATCTCTCATAAACCTCTGAATTGGGCCATTAGCTCTTGCATCCTCATTGAAATCACCCATGATGATACAGTCATAGTCATTTGTTTTCAAGAAGCCCAAAACATTCTGAAGATTGTGTAGGAATGATGTTATTTTTTCCATGCAAGGCCGATATACACACAACAACAAAATATCTTCCTTGATTAGTTTTACTGCTATTCCTTCAATATTCATCTGGGCAATTAGAACAATATCATAATCCTCCTTATCTTTCAAGTACAGCCCAACTCCTCCACCCTTTGACATGCGTAAACTTTGTTTTGAGACAACACTTTCTTCATATGCTTCCTTTCTAGGCAGATGATGAAACTGAAACCCTTGCAGTCCATATTTCTCCGTATTTTCCCCAGATCCTATCCATGTCTCTGTTAAGCATATAACATCAACCTCTTTAAACCTTGCATCTTTTTGTAGGTCTTCAAAATGACTGCGCAAGCTCTGTATGTTATGCAGAATTACTTTCTTCCCAGTGGATAGTAAGGCTTGTGAAGTGTCATCAAAAGTAACCTTCGGCATTTCACTTAATGCTGATTTTACCTCTGGATCAGCATAGATATTTCTCTGTAAACGAGTTGAATCTTCTGTATCAATAAATAAGCCAGTCTTTGAAGTAACCCTTGACAATGCAACGTATGCTTGACCTGGAGCAAAAACTTTATCCAAATTCACTACAGCTTTCTCAGTTGTCATTCCTTGCACCTTATGAGCTGTACATGCCCAAGACAACCGAATTGGAAATTGGTGTCTTACCACCGTACTGGCCTTTTCCTTCATCTCTTCTTGTACTTTTTCTATGAACACTAGGTTTCCATCCATTGTCTTTTGTCCGGACTTCTTCCCAACTTCCTTATTATCAAAAATTACACCTATAGCCTTAACAACTCTATCACTGTTTTCAACCATTGAAAACTTACAGATATGCCCCATTACTCCATTAACAAGTCCATCCTCCACATTGCAATTTCTTGTGAGCATAACCCTTGCATGGACAGACAATAAGAGCGAACTTGGGAGGCCATCACTTTTAGATTTTGTCAAAGGTTTGTTTTTCGGTATCAGTTTCCCCGACGTTTTGTCCTTTTTGTAATCTTGGGCATCAATTTCCAGTAAATCTTCACAAGATTTCTTTAGCATTGACAAATTGAATGCGTTAACCTCTTCATTGGTAGAAAAAACATGAAGAACATCTTCTGGACCTTCCCTGATACAATCTTCCAACATAGCACTTTGCTGATGTGTTAACGGTTGATCTCTCTCTCTTACACGAAGGGAATTAAGAACCTCAGCAAACGACAAGTCTTCTTTTTGTCTCATTATCCCTTTTAATTCAATGACTTTAAATAACTCAAGCCAGAAGTCCATTGGATAACTCATATTTTCTTTGTAAAGTCTCTCGTCTTTTCGCTGCTTAACAGGAGGAAGCTGGTAAAAGTCCCCAACAGCAATAACACAAACCCCTCCAAATGGCTCTTTGCACTTCTTAATCTGCACCAGCCTTTCATGTATATAGTAGAGAAGCCTTTTGTATACCATTGATATCTCATCAATGATTAGGATCTGAAGATCTCCTATCCTTGCTCTCAATTCACTGAGACTTTGTTCTCCAAGTGGTTCATAAGGAAGGGGAAGATACTTTGTTAATGAAAATAGGTGATGAAGTGTATTTCCGCCTATGTTGAAAGCCGCTGTTCCCGTGAATGCTGCGAGAAGCACTGATACATTATCTGGTTCAGTCATTATTCGTGAAAGCAAACGTGATGCTTCATAATGAATGGCTTTTATGAGATGACTTTTACCAGTTCCTGCACCACCAGTAATAAATAAATGTAATGGTTCAGGTTTTTCTCCTGCAATCTTTCCTAAACACCAGTCGCGCACCAAGTAAAATATTTCACTCTGTGTTTCATTCAAAGTTTGAAGAACAGATTGCATTTCCTCTCTTGAAGCTGCATTTTGGTGAACATGATACATGACATCTGCATTATGTCTCTCGCTTTCGATATCCGGTATGATATCTATGTTTTCCTCCTGTGGCACTGTAGTTTCCTTTCTCTGTGCTATACCCTCCCTTCTAAGAACCTCTGTTTCTGGACATATTCGTGACCATGCATCCTCTGGTTCACCAATCATCTCATATGCCTCCTGAGCATTGTCAATAACATCTTCATTCTTTGCATAACGTGAATGATTGAAATCCACTATTGACTTCACAGATTCCTTCTTTTTTCTCCCCAAAATTTTCACATAACCAGTCTCATAAAAATCCTCATATAACTCAAACCCTGGTGGTTTCAACTGTGCCTCTGTCCAATAGGGTAGAAAAAGTTGCAAGAGAGACTGATGATATTTTTCTGACATTTTCTCAGCATTAAACCTGGGATATCTCACAACAGCAGGCTGTGTTCTTGTTCTTCGTTGCACAAAACCCTTTCCATTCTGTAATTCAAAAACATTCTCATTTTCCTTCTTCGGAACTTGTGATTTAGCAAGCACTCTAAATTCTGAACAAAATTCTGCGAGGCACATTTCATGGAAAATTGCTTTATCTGGTCGGTTCATGTAACGTTCAATAATGTTTGTCATCCAAACTTCATCCTCCTCATCTTCTTCCTCAACATTTATCTCTTCATCCTTTGATGCTTTCTTCTTAAGCACTGATAGTGGCTTACTTAAGCGCACTGGGTTGTCACCTACAGGCACAAACAACACTTTCCTAGAGCATTCTTTCATCTTCAAGTTACATACTCTGTACACAGCTTCTTGTGCACTTACTTCTCTGTGATGCAAGTAAGCTGAACCAATTTTCTTCATCGTTTGTCTGGCATCGTGATTTCCCTCCTCAGCCTCCAACTTTGTTTGTTTGAGTAACATACCCATTTCCCTTTCTGACTTTGATATATAGGAAATTATATAAACAATACAACTGAAAGGATCCAGCACAAACTGTATGTCCATATTAGCATCCCAGGACTTCAACAGACATCTGTTGTATTGATTCGTCCATACCTCATTCGGGCAGCGTTCAAGTACAACTGATCTCTTTGTCGATAACATGTTGTAGGCATCTTCGTACAGCTCCTGTGTTAGTGATAGATCATCAAACAATTCTTGTGTTGTTTTGATTCTTTCACCATCATTCTGTACCTTATCCCAAACACTAAGTAATATCTCCTTTGCAAAAGCTTTGTTTACATTTGTCTCTTTTTCACACTCCTCTGCGTTTTCTTGTTCATTTGCACTTGTAATGAAAGTCTTTTGAGAAGGGGGCCTTGGGAAATTAAACCTACACTCTGTGCCTTTCTTTTTACAAGACTTTGAATGTTTCTTGCTGTGCTGTTGTACTTCTAAGACACTTTTTCTCAATTCTGGGTCATCACTATCTGCAGGAACAGAACATGTCACATATCTGTTAATGAAGTCGCACACAGCTTCTTCTCCATCAGAATCAATGTTAGGTGCATTTTCAACCCAATATAAACAATGCATATGTGGGGATCCCCTCTGCTGAAACTCGACTCTTTGGAAAAAGTCTATTACTTTTCCTATTGGCTTTGCTGGGGAAAGAATGACCTCTTTGTGAAATATTTGAAACCTGTGTTCAAACATTCTAGCCACTGTGACTGGATTGCATCTTAAAACTTCATTTTTCTCTGACCACTCCATCTCAACGGGATCTCTGTTATCATTCTGCTGTTGCAATATAGCTTTAACAGCATCATTCCATCTGTACTCCGCTGCAGAAAACGAACAAAACCAAGTTGGGATTCCTAATTGTCGCAGCATGGCAAAAATGTCCTTTTGAGTACTTGACCAATAGGCAGGAGTTCCTCTTATTGGCTGCATAAATCTTAAAGCATCATCATTTCTCAACAAACTGGAGAGAGTAGTCGGGTCTTGCAGCATATGTATCGTAATTGGTTTTCCATTGGTACATTTTGATAGTGACTTTCTAAGTGAAATTTGTGTTTTTTCGATCACTTGATTCAATTCAGACATGTACTGGCTGAAAAAAATGTAATTGGTATCCTTTGCAAACCTGTCATCAGCATTCATTAACCTATTATTGAAATATTTCGAGAGAGTTAATTTTTCTGATCTTTCCTCATTCCAGGAGAAACGACCACTTGGGAAATGACAAGGAAATGCCTTCGCTTCGTTGCCAGGTTCTTGTAACATTCGAACAGGATTCTTCCCTTCGCTTGGTGCAATATTATACACGTCATCGAAATAATGATCTAAAACTTCCTGTGCAACATCAACAGGTTGTAAACATGTATCAAATGCAACAATTTCTTCATTAATTTCATCTGTTGTATCAACATCTGTCATTTCTTCATGACTCTCCAAACTTTCAGTCAAGGATGATGTTATTTTTAAATCCTTGTACCACTGATTGTTTTCTTTTAAGTATGATAAGGCTGACATGACATGGTTTGTATTAACAAACTGATATTCAAAGTAGCCTTTGTAATTCAATTTCCTTTTTAATTTCACACGCAACAATAAGTTTTCATCTTCTTTTCTGGGTAAACTGATTGTCTTTTTCATATCTGAAGGCACACAAACCACAGGTCCATGAACATTTTTTTGCCCGCCATGGGGAAGCGCCATGACCTTCATAAATGGTATGTGAATCGCAATCAAATGCTGTTCCAAACTGTTTAATCGAGTCAGTTCTGGTGGAATATCTTCCAGAATCAAACCGTTCACTGCAGCCTCCGCTGGTGCTTTGCCACTCATTATTTTCCTGTGACAAGTGTAACAAATCCATAATGATGATTTGGTACATGCTTCCGGACAAGATTCAGAACATTCATGCAAATACTTGTCTAGCAAACAAATGTCAGAAATAGTTCTTGCAGATTCACTTTTCTCATACATCTGATGTTCACAAGCTTGAACTTGATTTTTAAACAATAACCTATGGCAGCAAGTACAAGCATAATCTGGACCCTCCTTAGCTTTTTCCTTAAACAATCTGATAACTTCCTCTTCCTGTTCCAAGTTCATCTGCTTCAGTCTCCTCTTTTGTGCAACTTTCTCTTTCTTCTTCTTCATTGCTTCTGAAGATGAGTAATAACTATCCTTACTACGTTTCTTTACTTTTGATTGGACTTTGATGTCAGTTTGATACCTCCTTGCAGCTCTTTCTTGCATATTTGCTTTAAAAGTTTCGTTTGAACTATATCTTTGAACATGAGCAGCTTTATTTTTCATCCTGTAAGTTTCATCTTCTTTGTATTTATCCAAGGCTCCCTGTTTTACTTTAGTTTTGTGTTCCAAGTCCATTTTATACTTGTCAGTGCTTCTTTGTTTAACTTTTTGCTGGTGTTTTAAGTCTGTCTTGTACTTCTCCATACTGGCCTTCTTAACATTTTCCTGATGTTTTAGATCTGTTTTGTACTTCTCCGTACTGGCCCTCTTAACATTTTTCCGATGAGTCAGATCTGTCTTATACTTCTCAGTACTTGCTTTCCTCAAATTCTCCTGATATTCAGAGTCTGTTCTGTACTTTTCCTTGTTTTTTTCTTTCACCTGTTCTCTGTGCTGAACATCAGACCTGTATCTCCCAACAATTTTCCTCTTCTTTTCCTCTCTGTGATTGAAGCTAGTGTAGTATTGGAGTTTACTTCTTCTTCTACTTGCCCTTTGAACTTCTTCTCGGTGTTCTAAATCTAAAGCACGATACCGTTCCCTGTTCCTAATCTGTATTTTAAACTTTGTGTCTGCATCTGAATACATTTCTCTCCTATGCTTGATAATTCTATTCCGGAATTGCTTACTATCCTTGTACTTTTTCCTTAATTTGTCTTTGCGAATTCTACTCGAGTGCAATGGCCCTTTCGATACAAAAGTATCTCGCTTTTCTTTCATTCGAAGTCGATTTCCTCTGCGCAAGTTATACTCTCTCTTGCAAGACATTGTTTGCATGACCGATTCCTTTTCTGATAGACTTGCTGAAACACGTAAAACAACATCATAATGGTTCTGTTGTCTATGGTATAAATAAATAGACTCCTTCTGTTCAATTACTTCAGGATTTGGCACTTCCCCACTAAAACAAATCCATTTCCTGTCTGAATAAGTATAAATGTCAACATTCAACATGTGCGACATTGCATGAATCTCCAATTCAGTGGCCCATACACCCTCCTCTGACATTTTACTGGAAACCAAGTAAGACCTTAATGATCCCTCATATCTCATAAACTGCTGAAATTTTGTTTCATGTTTCAACAAGTGTTGACAAACAGCTTCTCGTACAAGTTGGTGATAGTTCTCAGAGTTTGTCAGACTGAATGATACTGCCCTGAAGAAACAATTTCCATCTGCTTGGATTTCTTTACACTTGCTAGGTATATCCATGCCTTTCACAATCACAGCATCCTTTTCATATCTAGAAGTAAAATAAGACAATCCCAACTCTTTGCTCAACTCCATCTTCTTCTGTACAGACAAAGGAATAAAATTGTGTTGTTTTACTTCCTCATCCATAAATATCACCTCATTTGTCTGTGATATCTCTGACTGATCTGACAATAAGCTCTCTTGCTTTGTACCTTGCAATCCTCTTGCATATCTCTCATTTTCTTCAACGTTTGATTGATCTGATATCATGACACCTTGTCTTGAACTTATGAATGCTTCTGAAAACTTTACATCACCTTCAACATGTTCAACCTTGTTAACTTCTGCAATAGCAAAATGCTTCAGTGAACACAGCACTCCAGTTAATTCACATTCAACAGTTCTTGAAAATCCCATAGAAAGAGCCAGAGACCATAGATGTAAGTATACATCCTGAACATCCTTTAACAAAATTCTTGTACTCTTCCCTCTAACACTTAAATATCCACGAGAGCACCGTGCATGTGAATCAAATATGAAAAAGCCATCAGTAGTTTTTCCAATTAAAAGGGTATTTCCCCCAAAACACACAAAACACCCATTTGTCTCAGTAAGTGCCATCTGGAGAGCTTCAAATAGAGGATAAGCATTAAAATCTTCATAACATGGCTCCTCCTCTGATAAACTAATGAAACTTGGTACCGAGACCTTCACTGTAAAGTCAAATGTATTGTTATAGCATTCAAAATACTGTGGTAACTCTTCTACTAACAAATACCTACTTGTAATTGAAGAACAGTTCTGCAGGTATGTGTAAAGTTCATCTCCATTCACTAAAACTTTGTTGATATCAGCTGTTTGCCACATTTCTGCACTTTTCAGAAGATTATAAGCCAAACCTGATAAACAATTTGCCACACACTGAGTTCCTGCAGTGTCTCCAAACATAGGATCAGCTTGATGGAAAGAGCCCTGAACAGATACATTGTACAAATTTCTTGCTTTCAAATCATGATTTCCATCATCCTGCACATTACAACCTTCTCTCTGATCACGTTGTTCATTTACATCTTTTATATTCCAACTTTTACAATTTCTTTCATCACTCACTTTTCTAAATACCTTACTCTCATTTGTTTCCTTCATTTCTTCCTTATCATCAGTTTTATCACTTGACTCTCTCACATTTTCTATGATCTCTATATCATCTCTAAAATCCATCATACTTTCTACAGTCTCCAAATCTCTGTTTATACTTTCTATAATATCAAGTTTTTCGTTCAAGTTTCCTTTTGATATTCGTTCAGTTTCCAGTTTAGAATTCGTTAAAGTGCCCTCATCTTTTGATATTCTACTGGTCTCCTCCATCCTGGAGGTATCCAGCTGCGCCTGTCCTGCTGGATCAGACATATGCACTGTGTCCGATCCAGGTGCCCTCGGTGGAGCACAAACCCACGGTGGGGAGTCAGTGGACGGTGCCTTGCCCTCGTCATGGACAAACAGACGACTTCCCCGAGGAGGTGACAACCTCGGGGCAGGTGAGTGCATTTTCACTCGAGGTGAGGCCTGCACCCTGGCCAGGGGTTTTTCCTCTTTAGGTGGAAACCCCATCGAACCAAACCCCGGAAAATTACCGGGAGGAGCTGAATCAGCTCCATCTACTGTTCCGCAGGGAACAGCAGACTGTTGTGTCGTCATAGCTGAGACTTCGTCTGGCAGAACCTCTGCAGGCCTTTGCCTCTTTTCTCTTTTTCTCATCTTGTCTTGCAGCATTCGCTGTCTTGTAGATATTTTCCTTCTCTTTGCCATCTGAAAAACATTGATAATATACCATAGATTACTACATCTTCCCTGAAGAAAAAAATTATTTATTTATATTCAAAGTAGTACACACTTTTTCATGAATATTGTTGAAGAGAGTGCATAAACAGTAGGCCAATATACAGACATGGATAAAAGAGAAGCATTTTGAAAAATTGTTTACAGAAGGAAAGACAACAGACACATTACTATCGCATTAGCTCATCTGGTCTCCAACCAGTAGAGCTAAAACAAACAGATGACATAATAAGCATGACAAAGTCAAACAAACGATTGAAAAAATCATTACCCTATCCTACCTCAAGGGATATGTTCTGCACAATTCCTCCTTTAAACTACCTGAGAATCTTTCATTGAAATACTGTTATTAATAAAGAATTAAATTAAAAATATTTTGGATGTATTAAGCTGAAAAACTTTAAAACCCATTTTGCCATCAGCCCACCCACAGGAGGTAATGAAGTTAATCAATTTTGAATATAAATTTGAGGTACTTCGCCCTAACACCAAATCCCTGACCCTAAAGTTCATTAATCTGGAAGATGAAGCCATCCTCATCGTAACCATGTTCCTCATTGTAACTATGTTGATAGTTCATTGGTTTAATACCAAGAAGCAGAGAAGATATTAAAGGATTTTTCTATATATTTCCAAGTAAAACTTTGATTGATCATTGTGACCCTGCCCTACCCCCAGGGGTCATGTTTTTAAAAAACTTGAATCTACACTACCTGAGAATGCTTCCATATAAACATGATCAATCATGGCTTTGTTATTCTTTAGAATAAAATTTGTAAAGAATTTTCCCAAATATTTCTATTGTAACACTAAGATTGGCCATTGTGGGCCCACCCAACCCCTGGGGGTCATGCTTTGAATAAACTTGAATCTACATTACCTGAGAATGTTTCCATATAAATATGATCAATCATGGGTTTGTTATTCTGGAGAAGATTTTTAGAGAACTTTCTTATATTTCTACGTAAAACTTTGGGAAACCATTGTTGCCCCGCCCACCCCCAGGAGTCACGATTTGTACAAACTTGTATCTACACTACCTGAGAATGCTTCTATATAAATATGAAAAATATGAAAAACTATTATCAATATGGTTTTGCTATTCTTGAGATGATTTTTTAAAAGAATTTTAAAAAATATTTTTATGTAAAACTTTGGTCGGCCATTTTGGCCCCACCGCCCTACACCTGGGAGTCATGATTTAAACAAATTTTAATCTTAACTACCAGGTCTGAAGATGTTTCCCCATAACTTTCAACTTTCCAGGCGCACAGTATTTCACTATTTCTGAATTGTCTCCCCATGAATGAAGACGTGGTCCAAAATTTAAACAAACTTTAATCCCCTTCACCAGAGGATACTTTTTGACAAGTTTGGTTGAAAATGGCCCAGTGGTTCTAGAGAGGTCAAAATTGTGAAAAGTTAACAAACAGACAAACAGGCAGATGGAACAAAATGTGATCAGAAAAACTCACTTGAACTTTCATCTCAGGTGAGCTAACAACATATATCCCCAGTTTAGTGATTCGGGTGTATAAAACTCCATGTGCATGCATATTTCTTACAAATGTACAACTCTTTTGCATAATAAAAATATCTCGAAATTATGTAAAAAGTTATCCAGACAAATATGTGCGCTAACCTCTATATAACTTAGTATTCCCTTTCATTTTGACCTAATTGTACCTCAACACTGACAGCTGAAATTTTCTCTTTTATATGTGTTCAATGACTTGCGACATTTAAACAATCTACCTTAAAAATCATTGGATGAATTGTCTGGACATTTGAGATACCCTCGATGTAATATTTTGCATCAAAAACATTATATTCTTAAAACTATGAACAAAATATATGTTATTAGCACATGAATGCATCTGTATTACAACATGACAATTTGTCCTAGTCTAATAATTTCTTTTTATTGATACCCGAATAAGAAAAAATATCTTAAATATTACCCTTAAAAATGAATGAAATTAAAACATGTCTTTAATAGCAACATCAAGTTAAAATAGTTTTGAGAATATTTGTAAAAATTCACCAAATTATGTATGTACATAACCTTAAATACAAAATTTCTTTGAAACTTAAAGAAACAAGATGTGTTTGTGAAACACAATGCGCCCGGTGGCAACAAAGTTCGAAAAAGCTATTTTTAGCATATAGGTCACATTTAGGTCACAAGGTCATAGACCTTGGTGTCAATTGAAAGAACTTAATTAGTAGAGTATGCATACCAAATATGAAGTCCCTATCTCCTATGGTTCAAAAGTTATGACAAATAGTAAAAAAAAATTTATTTTTAGCATATAGGTCACAGTCAAGGTCACAAGGTCATTGACCTTGAAGTCGTTTGAAAAAACTTTATTAGTGGAGTATGCATACCAAATATGAAGTCCCTATCTCTCATGGTTCAACAGTAATGACAAACAGTAGAAAAAGCTATTTTTAGCATATAGGTCACAGTCAAGGTCATTGACCTTCATGCCGTTTGAAAGAACTTTATTAGTGGAGTATGCATACCAAATATGAAGTCTGTATCTCTTATGGTTCAAAAGTTTTGGCGAAGGTTAAAGTTGACAACAGACAGACAGACAAACAGATAAACAGACAAACAGATAAATAGACAAGCAGACTGGACAAAAACAATATATGCCCTGGATCTATTGATCTAGGCGCATAAAAATAATGAAAGTGAAATAAAGATCACAATTAAGATCTTTATCCCACTGATAAGAGGCATATCTTGAAAAGTTATAAAATTGAAATATATGTAAATATATGTGATATTTATATAGGTATATTTCCATTTCTAATTTTTTTTTCTCTGTCATAACTGTTTGAAAGTTGGGGAAATTTATTTCTTGATAATTCTGCCGGAATGTAAATTAGGCAGGTCAATAGGTCAGCAGCTAAGGCGGCCTAATACGCATGCAAATCTCGTGCACATCTGTCTCTGTGTCTGACGCTAAGGAGGCAAAATATGCATGAAAATCTCGTGCGGCTGCCTTTGTGTTCGACGTCAATGTGCGAGGACTATTGAAATTGGCATAGAAGTCCTCGTGTAATTTAAATCTATTAGTTTACATTTTTAATGTATAACTCTACAATTTTATTTCACAATGAAATGGAAATATAAGGAATCATTGTCTAGTTTTGAGAGTATGCCAGGGACATCAACAATAATTGGAAACATGGGATAATTTTAGCATACAGGCTTCGCCCGTTATGCAAATTATCCCATGTTTCCCACTATTGTTGATGCCCTGCATACTCTCAGAACTCGACAGTGATTCCTTAAATATACTTCATAAACTGTAATAATCTTATAGGCTATCACAACCTTTGGAAGAAAAGTTTACATGCTTCTAGCTTGGACTTACAATTTTCTCTTTCAGATGATCAAAAATTTACTAATTCCTAATTTTAATTTGTTATGTCAAATTAATTTGTGCGTTCACTACATCGATAATGGATAATATGATTTTACAAGAGCTGCAATTGCAAAGAAAAAATTCTTACAAATTCTGTTGTAAATCTGTAAGCCCTATTAATCTGAACTTTTCCCAAGGGTACACAAAATGATTGTGAATTAAGGTACTCAATGTATAATGAAGGGATTTGAATGATTTTAAATAATTGTAAACTAGTTAAAACACAATGCTAGATAATGATTAAAGTGAAATGAATTCACAAAACTTATAAAATGTAAGGACACTGTTATTTTGCACATTAAAAGCTTTTGAAGAGTTATGTGCCCTTGATGAACAGAGGAAAATTTTTGATTTCTGAATTCTCCTTCATTTGCTCAAAATTTCTGTGGTAAACTAGAGGTACTGTGAGCAATAAGGTCACTAAATGATACCCCCCGCCTCCCATAATGTCCATGTTTGCTATATATTTGTTTTACGGTAATGTGTACAAAGGAATAACTCGTCCTATCAAATATTATCCAGAAGCTTCTATATGTGATGTCATAGGTAAACATATAATGGCTATCTCCATGTTTTGCTATGGGAAATTAAAATACAGGTCAAATAAAAAAGTAAAATAGGAAATGCACAATGGCAATATGTAATAAAGATTCTTTGAAAGTTTCATATAATTTCACCCAGTAGTATATGAGGAGTTGCGGATAAGAGATAAAGCGTAACAGATGTCACGGACGTACAGAAATACCGATTACTATATACCCTCCCACTTTTCAAGCGGGGGTTATAATAATTTTTATTACATAGTTTAATAAAGAGGGGATTATGCATACTTTCACTAAGAGATTAGTTTGAAATTCAAATTAATTTATGGGTATAACACTATTCAAATGGGAATTTTTCATGACTTAAACACCAAAAAATATAGAATTCTTGGCAACTCTAGATATAATCTCAAAATAGTTTTATTTATAGGCACTGCAGTGATATCACACATCACATGCACATTAAAAAAATTACAACTCTAATTTGTTAAGATATCAAAGTAATTTCAGGAGGTCATGAAATTTTGACAATTTAATAGTTTTGAATGATTAGTGTATTGATTCATTCTATTTGGCTGCACAAAACAGAAAAAAAGGACAATTCTGCATGATCAGGTCCAATCGGATATCCTAAGACTATTCCTATATCTTTGAGGTTTGCAGAAAATCTCTTGGTTTGTGGGGATTTGATTTCATGGATCAAGAATTAATAATTACTTATGTATGTAACATTTTATATTGTGTGGTGGACATGAAATCGTAGATATTATCATACCTTAAAAACAAGAATTAAACCCCCACAAAAATGTTTGACTCTGCAGTATGCAGCTACGTAAATATTTAAACCTACTTATTTTAACAATTTTTACCTAATTTTTGCTTAATATAGATTTTATGGCCAAATACTGAACAGCGCAATATTGTGAGCAGCAAGTTTAATAATGCAGTCAGACTGATGATAAATGCAAAAAAAATTAGGCCAGAAAATGAT